GGTGGGGCTAAATCAAATGTTTTAGTATTTTTTATTTTATTTTTTAACATGTTGTACTGCACTTGAACACCTGAGATTTGAGCTATAACCTACAAGAACTGCTTGTATCCAGGCACCTTCAAAATGTCTTTCTAAAACCATGGGTTTAGTCAAAGTAACCTTCACTTTCCCTGTAGGGGTTTTAATTCCCTTCCCAAAAATTTAGTTTTATTTATATAGCGCCCAAATTTACAACACATGTTGTTCAAGGCACTTCACAAAAAAATCAGGTACATACATTACAATTAATTCCCAATCATTGAACAGTGCAGTCAAAATTCAGTTATTTATTTTAAATTGGATAAAAAAATTTTTCTGTTCCCAAAGGAAAGGGAAAAACCCCAGATTGCATCAGTCAGTGACCCTTTCAGCATTCCCCTCCTCCCCGGGTGAGCATTTAGAGACAGGGGGAAATCACTGGGTTGACTTTTCAGCCATTTCCCCCCTTTTCTGAGATGGGATGTACGAAAAGTGGAGAGGAAAAAATCCCCTTTTAACGGAAGAAAACCCCTAGCAGAAAACCCGGGTAGTGGTTTAAGCGGCCCTCTGCCACAAATTCCCGACGGGGGAAATTAGAGAGAACAGAGCAGAGAAAACAAAGAGAAAAAAAAAAAAACAAAGAAGCATTGACCCGGGAGAAATTTCTAGGGGAAAAGGAAAAAGTAAATGTTAAGGGTTTTGAAAGCTCCTTTAGTTGTTTCATCTAGAAAAAAAAGAACAGAAAAACTCTGAGCCATTTTTTCAAGGTTAGGGGTCTAAAAAGAGAGCAAAATAGAGTTAGTCACAGTAAAAGCTCAGTCAATGGCCTTTGTCTATGAAGAGAAAAGGGGTTTTTTTAAAACACAAAAAAAGACAGGGCCATGTGGATCATCGGTAGAGGGTGGCATTAATTTGTTCCCAAAGCAGAATTTCGGACGTTTGCCCCTCCCCAGAAAGGTTAACAGGTAGACACAGAGCCAGGCCAGGGGGTAGCTTTTAGGAAGAGAAAAGAGGGGGAAAAAAAGTTAAAAAGCTTAAAAAACCCGAAAAATAATACAAAGTTGGAGAGTGGGTGAGAATGTAGGGGGAAAGGGGGTTGAAAAAGGGTCATTATGTCCTCCAGCACCCCTAACCCTATAGAAGAAAATAAATACACAGATATTTTAAATTTTTAAAGATTATTTAGTTAAAAGGGCTTATTTAAAAACAATGCGTCTCAAGGGCACCCCCAAAAGGGGTCCCAATGATGGTCATTGTTATACAAAAAAACCACAAGGTTTGGGGAAAATCTCTTCTGTCAGACTGTTTTTAAACCCAATTGGAAAAAGAAGGGGTCATACAGGTAGCAGAAATGGGGGGTTTGGTGTTTGAACCTAAAACCAAAACGAGCTGGTTTTGGGGTAAAAACCCGACTCCCCCTTACTCCCTCCAAACAGGGAGGGGAGCAAGGCTCCCCCCCCTCATAAAAATAAAAACCCCTCACATTTAGATGAGGGGTGTAAAATTTTAATTTTCCCCCCAAAAAAAAGGTAGGGCCCCAGTCAGTTGTTATGCTGAAAAAGTTTTTTATGGAGGGCCCCGCTTTAAGGTGTTTATGTATAGATAAAACCCTTTTTTTGGTCATTTAAAAAACCCCCCGAGGGGAAAGGGGTCCAGGAGGATCCAGTTATAAAAAGCCCGGGGCCCCCAATGGCCCTCTCGGGTTTCCCCTCTTCTCGAGCCCCCCCTGGTGGCCCAGCTCCTCACCCATCTCTAAGGGGCGGGCCCGGGGCCCCCCACGGGGAAGCAATTTTAGCCCCTTTTTATCCGGGATCTCGTTTTTTTTGGTATGACCCAAAATTTATGGCCAAGATGAGGGTAGGAACCCTAGCCGCCCGGGAAAAACGAGAGCTTCGCTTTTCGGCTCGGCTCTTTCTTCAACCCGAATGAAAAAGCCCCAGCGTCCTTATTTCTGGGGGCAGCTGGGAACCCATCCAAACTGTCCCAAACTCCCACTCCATTCTCCCCTCACTCGTGAACAAGGACCCCCCAAAAAAATTGAAATCCTCCCCTTTAGGGGAAAGGGAAAAACCCCAACCTGAAAAGGGGGGCAAGCCACCCCCTTTTTTGGTCGAGAAAACCCTTTGGGCCCCTTTACTTTGGGGGACTGATCTTTTTCCCAGCCACTTCACACTCCCGGGTACGAACTGCCCCAGTTCATGCTTTAGGGCTTTTGGGTAGAGTGGGCCAGGGGGACCCGTCATCTGCAAAAAGAAGGGGACGAAAAACCACTGGTCCCCCAAAAAACCCGACCCCCTCGCCCTTTTCGCGCCAGAAATCCTGGGCCCAAAAAATTTGAAATGGGCCGGGGGGGACAAAGGGCAGGGCCCCGCAGAGTCCAAAAATACACCGGAAAACAGGCCCAACTTTGTGCCAGCAATGGAACAAAACTCATGCTCCCCCTTGACAGAAACCCACGGCCCCCCAATAAAAAGGGCCCCCCCGACCCTGTTTCTCCTGGGAACAACCCCCACAGGGGACCATGAGGGACACAGCGGGAAAGCCTTTTTCCAGGTCCACAAAAACATTTTGGACCGGTTGGGCCCCAAAAAAAATCCCAGGGAAAACTCGAAATACCCTGCAGAGGGTGTAAAAGCTGGGTAACAGGGGGACAAAAACGACGTGCTCCTCCTGAAGCCCAAAGGGTTTGACTATTGGCCGGGGCTTTCCCCTCCCCAAGCCCTGGCATAGGGGTTACCAGGGGGGATGGATCCCCCCCATAGTTTAAAACCCCCCCCTCCTTCTTATGAAAGGGGGGCCACCCCGTCCCCGCCACCAGAGGCACTGCCCCCAAACCCCACACAAGGTTGAAGAGGCCGGGGTCCACCATGACAGTCCCGAAAACTTTCCAGAGACTTGAAAAAAATAAAGAGCCCAAACCCCCGGGCCCCGGGGCCTCGGGCTTAAACCAGGGAATGTGAAATGAGGAATTGAGGGGGACCCCCGGGAAAGTACTTTTCCCGCCGCCCCCCGTTTAATGCCCCCCATGAGGTCATTTTAGCTCCCCACCCCCATTTAAAACAGTGCAGTTTTGGGGGAAAGCACTGTTTCCCCCCTTTGGGGGCCCCAAAAACGGTTTCCAGAATCGCCCCAAAACCCCTTAGCCCTTTTCCGCACCTCACCAAACCCCTTCCAGGCCGAGTTTTTCCCTCTGCCAAAGCCCGGGGGTTTTACAAAAACATGGTCCAAAAACCATGGTCCACTCGGACTCTATGTTTTCCAACCTCCCCCCGGAAATTTCGGTTTAAAAGCTCTCCGGGGAGGTGGGAGTTAAATCCAGATGGGGGAGGCTTTTCCCTCCCGATCACGCCTCTGGTTTCACGCGTTTACCACAGGGGTTGAATTTCCCCAGCGGGAATAATGTAGTCCCCTGGGGGGGGGGAAATTTAATGCAGCACCCCTGACAGGGACTCCAAGAAGGCCGGTTACTCCACATTACCACTCGGCCTTTCTTTTTTGTATGAGAAAAATATCACCTGAACCTTTCAGATTGACTTTTGTTAGATTACAGGTCTGGTCTATAAAAAAGTAACATTATTTACCTAGCTTAATGTCTCTGCAATAATTACAAGGTATGTAACTGACCTCAAAAAGCAGTTTTTAATGTATTGTAGTAGCTGTGGATTTTTATTTGAAAGTATATTGTCTGTGTCTTATGAAGTACTTGGATAATACTCCCTGTGCCCTCCAGTTGAGAAAGCAGAATAGAGGAAGACAGGAAGAATGTAGGGTAAAAGATTTTATTTATACCAGTCTCTCAAGGGACCGTTGGTTCTTTGCATCCATTCCATCTGTCCCATTATTGTGCTTTCTCTTTGTCTCATGCTTTCTATTTCTGACTCTGCTTTGTCTCCCTCTGAATAAAATAGAATTGTTGATTAAATATTGGTAGAAATATTTACTAATAGTTTTATTTTTCTCCCTTAAGTAAAAATGTGAAAGATAAGACATGTGCACATCCATCTGCTTGTCTTGTCATTTCTTTCTGTCTGCTGTAGTGGAAGTATCTATTGGAAAAGAAACTCAACCAAACAGGTGATGTGTAGCATCATAAAACCAGGCTTTTGGTTTAAAGGTGTAGTTAAAACAGCGGCAGAACAACTGCCTATTCATGCATGCACCTGTTACATTTATCCAGAGGGGACACTGGTTGAGACATGTATAGGCCACTACCTCTTGAGCGACATGGAAACATCTGGGGTTTTTTTTGTTTTGTTTTTCCAATAACACACAACCAGTCAGCTTGATAAACACACATTACACAGTTCCACACACAATTCCCAAAGTGCATCTGTCTCTGGCTGATTGGGTTCTAATAACTTAGCTGTAGTCTCTGTTGAATGGCGGGTTGCCATGGACACTTCTCTTGTGAATATTTTTCAAAAACCAGTGAAGTGTGTATTTGTATAGAAGGTGGAAATGCTGATGTTGTTCTCTGCGTTTTTACATGAGAATGTGATAAGGGTAGTCCTTGTTTGCACACAATTTCCTTACATCTGCCATATATATTTCTGGTGTGTTAAATAGCTCTTTCATGATTGCTTTGTTTTTACATTTAGTGTTCACTTTAGAACATCAATAAAAGCATGTGTTGTTTAATTTAAATCTGTGTCAAACTGCTCTCTCTATTTTCTTAATCTGAATCTGCAGATAAGCTACTTTGAAAATGCTATTACTCCTTAAGTGAGAGCATCATAAAATTTAAGAAGTCATATAAAATGTGATGAGAGATTCGTGGATTTATTGATTCAGTGATAAAAACATTAAAGAAATCAACAATTAGGCTAAAACATGCAGCTTCAAAAGTCAAACTGTAAACTGGTCACTAATGAACTTTATACCATGTGAAGGTACAGACAGTGATTAGGACACAACATTGTATGTCAGTTCTTATTGGTTGGTTGTTTTTTTTTTTTTTTTTTTTTACTGATTTGTTTGTGGGGCTGCATGGTGGTGCAGTTGGTAGCACTGCCTTGCAGCAAGAAGGCCCTGGGTTCAACTCCCACCATGGAGATATCCAGTTATCCAGACTCTTTCTGCATGGAGTTTGCATGTTCTCCCTTTGCATGCTTGGTTTCTCCCTGGGTACTCCGGCTTCCTCCCACAGTCCAAAAACATGACTGTTAGGTTAATTGGTATCTCTAAATTACCCTCAGGTGTGAATGTGTTAGGGTTAGTGTGTGCATGGTTGTTTGTCCTGTGTGTCTCTGTGTTGCCCTGTGATGGACTGGCAACCTCTACAGGATGTACCCAGCCTTTCACCTGTAGACCGCTGGAGATAGGCACCAGCTACCCCACGACCCTATACAGAAGAAGCGGGTATAGAAGATGGATGGATTTGATTATGTTTGTTTGCTTGTTGGTTGATTTATTCATAAAACTTTTTTTTTTTACTTTTGTTCGTTGCCTGGTTGGTTTGTTGATTCATTGGCTGGATGGTTGGTTCATTAATTGGTTGGTTGTCTTTTGTTTTGTTTTGTTGTAGTTTTGGTTCCTGGTTGTTTTTCATTTGATCAGATGGGTGGGTGGTTGTTTGTTTAGTTGTTTCTTTTAGTTTACTGACTAATTCCATGATGAGTTATATTTTATAAGAGACAATAATCTAATTATTTGTGGTACTATTAATAAAAACAAATGTTTGTTGCAGGCTATCCATACTTTCAACTTTTTCCTACTTGGACAGAGTTGTAAAGTTTTTCATTTAACTTAGATTCTTCTAAAATTGGGAGTGTCTGTATAAATCAAACAATAACATCAGCAGATCTTTCTGATGATGAAATGCAAACACAAAATGTGTTATTTGGAATAGGCAGGTAAAAGGCAGGTATTCAGTCCAACAAAAATGTTTTTGTAAGAAACTGAAGAAGCCAGTTCAACTGAGGCAACCCACTGGCATGCAGGATAAGGTAAATTGTAGATCAGGTAATAAAGCAACTGGCTGCTTCTGCTATCACAGACAATGGAGACATAGTAATAGAGTTTTTCTCCTGCATAGTTCTTTTTACATATTTTGAAAGCTTCTGTGAAAAACAAAATAAGATAAAAATATTTTAATAATTCAAAAATTTATTAATGTTGTTCTTGTAAATGTTTAATCTTATCCCTTCTTTCAGCTTCTCATGAATAATAAAATACATTGAATATGTTAAAAATGTTTTAGTTTACATATATAAAACTTTTATTGCTGCCTTTACAACTTAAAAATGTTTATCAAAATGAACAAGCTTCTAAATAAGTAAAGTAGTCAGTGTGACACCCTCTCTTCTGTGATGTTCTTTATGTCTCACTTCAAGTTTTCTTCAGTTTTCTGGGCTTTTCTTGGGCCTGACATCTTCAGGGGAAGGGGTAACATTTTTCTGCTAAAACCCTTTTTGAGTGATTTTCCCTTTTTTCTTTTTTCTTACTAAGAAATAAAGAGAAAAAAACCAGAGAACATGGAAGGAAGGATCTGTTTTACAGTGTTTTCTGTACTTTCTGCAGTTTCAGGGTGGTGGCCTATGGAGGGGTAGTGGTGGTGGTGGGGGGGGGGGGGGGGGAAAGGGGGGGGGGGGGGGGGGGGGGGGGGGGGTCATAGTCCCGGTAAAACTGTCTTGGCAAATGATTGTGTTTATATGTGTGTGGGCCTTTAAAGTTACATTTAAACCAAATATTGCAAACCCCTTTTTCAGAAATTTGGGGAGTGGGTTGTTAAATTTTAAATTTGAGAAAGTTGCTGTTTAAACATCGTTTCTGTCTTTTGGGGGAAAAAGCCATACTTGCAGGTTTGCCAGAGTATAAAATTGGGTTCCAAAACGTGAGCTGAAGAGTATGACAAAGTCATATGACAACTGGTGTACTTCGTAAAAACTTGGTTTTTTAGTCCCGTTTAAAAAATTAGCAGAGTTTTATAAATTCCCACGTTTTAGGGACTTGTAGTTCTGGCCCGCAGCTCTGAATTTTTTTGGGCAAATCTCCATGTAACAGTCGGGTTTTTTACTTCAGTCCCCGGTTTACCTGTATTTCCCCTTTTCTTTGGGGCCCGGGGTCCCTATCTTTCAACCTTGGGTATCGCACATTTTTTTTTTCCCTTAAAAAAAGAAAACGTTAGGATTTAAAACAGCGTGCCTGCCTGCAAAAATCCATTTGTGAAAAAAGCTTCAGCAAATATGTATTATACCCTTGGTGCAAACCTTTTTGTCTGGGGGAAATTTTTTTTAAAATAAGCAAAACCTTTTATGCCAAAAATTTTTCTTGAACTCCCCCTAAATTCCGAGGGATTTGGGGTTTTTTGCTCTTAAAAAAAAAATTTTGATCTGTTTTTATCATTGTAGCATGCTGATCTCAATTTTTTTTTTCCAAAAGGGGTGTTTTTCCAAAAATCTTGTGACCTTTGAAGGCCGGGGTTTAAAATTCGGCTTACCATACTCCCCCTTGTTGGATGGGGGAAAAGGAAAGGGTCCCCGGGGGTGCCCAAGAATCCCTCTTTCTTTCAAACCCCCTCAATATAAGCAAAGACAAAGCACAGGTAAAACATGTGATCTGGAGCTTCTGTGTTTGCCAGTTTTATTAATTTATGACCTTAAATCTGTTTCTGACCGACTTACACTGCCATTTGTTTTCAACCAGAGTGCTGGCTTCAGGTATCTTGTTTTTTTTTTTTTCTGAATCTAAAGAAAAAGTGCTTCATGTATATTTTAGACAAGGGCTGTTTTACGCAGTCAAGCGCTGTTTCAGACATGTTAGCTGCACTCTGCGCACCTGGGTGAATCATGTTGTAAACTAAAACAAAGTGGATAACAAACTGATTTGTGACCCCTTCTACTCTCATAAACACACTTCCATGCACACAAGCTGTAGCTCTATCACTGACACAGAAATGATTTTAGGTGCAGGGAGATTCTTTTCAGTCTGGAGCAGAAACTCTGTTTGTGTTGCAGATCCCTTGGACTGCTTCTCCCACCAGAAGAGATGAATGCAAATGGGCAGGAAAAGATCTCCTGGTAAGAGCTCAAACTATCCCGCTATCAAGTGGATGTTTAACTTTTTTTTTTCATACAACAAACACGTTTCAGGTCTGTTTATGATTTTACCAGCACCCCTCTTACACTATTTATGATATTTTATTTTTCTATTTTCGGTTCTTTCTGCTTGTCTGTTTTGTCTTACACACAGCTAAATCACTACAAGTCTACTTATGATGTAGAGCCATTACTGTGATCATAAATTAGCGGAAGTCAATTCTTGAAATATTTTTTTCATTTTTTTTGCTTTTTTACTAGCTTACTCTATTATAATCCAGGTGCATAAATAGTAACCATTACTATATAAACTGGATGACAGACATTGGTCACACTTAACTATACTGAGAGAGTAATTCATGAAGCAGTGCAATCTCTATCTTTTTTAGCAGCTGTTTTGCAGTCACAATTTGCTGTATTTCTGCACTCGACTTATGAAACAAAATAGACTAAATATTTTCAGAAGCAAACACCCCCATAAAATCCAGTCAATGGAATTGTAAAAAGCATGTTTTACTTTATACTTTAGAATTAATATTTAAGAAGCAGTGAGTAAATATTTAAGGTTGACTCTCATACAAATTACTGGTTGCATCACAATTCCATGGCTCTTGATAAATGAGGTTTCATGGTTTGCAGAAATCCAATGTAAACATGTTTCAAGTTTTTTAGCGGTTTCCTTCAAGTGATGTTTTTTTTGTCTTCCAAATGCCCTCGGGCAAAAGGCATGGATGCAAGACCATGCTGATGCTGTTTGTGGCTTTGTTTTTTCTCCCAAACAGGGCATGTGCCTCTAGCGGTCGATTCGTCTGTGCTGCACAACTGAAGAGCAGTGAAGTCTTCTGTGTGTTTTCTATAAACATTGCGAAATGTATAAAGACCCACCCTAAGGAATGGTTATCTGTTATAGGGCTAGACGAGAGGGGGGTGGAGAGAACAGGAGAGGGCATTCATAAATACACTGTGATAATCTTAAAACAAACACTACAAAGCAGGCAGGAACAACATAGGATAGACTGATGTTAAAGGCACTGCAGGAATCGCAAGAGAGGGCAAAAGCTTAAGTGAATATATATGTTTCACAATAGAGTCTGTTTTAAGTCAGTGTAAAATGTTAACAAAACTGAATACATTTTTTAATTTGTGTATCTGTCAATTAAACAGCATGCACATTCTGTAAGAGTTGAAATTTAAGTATAAATTACTAATTTTATGGAAATATTAAAATGATTTTACAAAAAAAAACCTTGCGATTGTTCCCTTTTGTGCATCAATAGGCCATTAAAATGATCAGCCTACAAAGATAAAGTTCATTCCTCATATAAACTAAACCATATGTAAACCAATGACCAGCAGGTGCCAACAGGTTTGCATATAAGCTATAAGCCAGATCAACATGATTATGCCTCATTAAATTCTTTTTCTTTACTTTTGTTTTTTGTGTGTGGAGATCATAAATATGCGCTGACAGGTTCAGAATATACTGGGAAAGGCCTTCCTGAGGCAGGTGGTAACAAAACATATTAGAATGTCAAAGCAAAGCATTGAAAACGATGCATTGAAATGTCTCTTTCGGCATATTAACTGAGACAGGAAATTGACTGTTCTCTCAGAAGATTTAAAAAGGAAAACTGGGCGATAAAAAAAAAAAACATATCAGAATAGTTAATGACAAGAGTTTAACTTTTTATACTTCCCATTTAAGCAAATGTCCTAAATTTTCTGGGTCTTTAGTATTATTAACTTCTTAACTTCTGTAGGTACTTTATCAACATTCAACTTAAAAGTGCAAAGCTCATTCATTAAATGTGAAAGCTTCATGTTTAGAAAGGTCAAAGCATGTATGTGTTCAAGGTTAAGTTGGATTGATTTTGAATAAAACAAAACATGATTTATGATAGTGATTGATTTCCTGACCATAATAATGAACTAGAAATTTCAAGGGGTTGAGGTGCATTTGTTTGTTACAAATAAAATCAGAAGGCCATGTGAAATGTTAAAGCAATCATCAAAGATT